ACCATCCGTCTCGATCCCGTCAAGAGTGTTGCGAGATGATGGACAGACATGTGATTCGTGATTCGACGTCCGTCGTAACTGTGCTCGGCCAACTTGAGCTTGCATGCAGCTGCCGGATTGGTATCGGCATCCAGACTGCTGTCAATCAGTGGATCGAATAGCGAAGCAACGGGACCCTAGTAAATCAAGAATTTGAATGTCTTGACAGTCACCCGGGTATCTTGATTTGAGTCCCGCCGAGCCGATGAGTCAATAATGAGTTGAGTGTGTTGAACGTGGTGAAGTGACTGTCGGTCACGTGACACTGAAGTTCGATTCGCTTGCGGTCGGCCCACGTTCCTCGCTTCTCCACTTTCTTGGGCGGTGGTGCATCTCGGGGGGAGAGAGAAGTTCCGGCGGGCCTGCGCGATGTTCCTGCCTTTCTCTAACGGTACTCCAGCTCCCCTCACCTCTCTGTCCATCACATCGCAGCTCATCCTAACGACGCATAGCAGGGAGCACTGTCCCATCCGCGTAGTCGAATTGCAAGGATGGGTCACTACATCCCAAAGAGGCGCTTGCCAGCGTTGCATGCTTACAAATACTCGGGACAAGATGACAGCTGGATTTCTGCAAACCTTCTGTCTCCCTGGTGGAACTGGCTGGTACAGCAGTTCCCCCTCTGGGTTGCCCCGAATACAATCACGCTCTCTGGTCTGGCACTCGTAGGCATCAACTTCGCGTCGCTTCTCATCATTGATGGAGGCATGGACTGCGGTACGAGCGCTAGCTTGGACCCCCGTCGGCGGACGGAGAACCTCAATGCGAGCGGAGACAAGTGGGCGAGCGTCAGCCTCTTTGAGCACTGGGGATTTCCCGAGAGTATGAAAGAGCATACTTTCAGCCAAGTGCGATGCATACCACCTTGGGTCTTTCTCAGGTGAGTCAAGATGCCAGAATGTGCCAGCTGCCGCAGATCTCTCGTTCGGACGGAAGGCTGATAGGGTAAATCTGGTACCAGCTGGTCGATCGGTCTGTTCCTCTACCAGTCCCTCGATGCCATCGACGGCAAGCAAGCGCGCAGAACGGGCATGGCGGGGCCATTGGGAGAGATGTTCGATCATGGTTGTGATGCCATCAACACCACGCTAGAGAGCCTGCTTTGCTGCGCAGCTCTCAACGTAGGAAGGAGCTACTGGGCGCTCGCATCTGTCGTAGCAACTCTCTCCAACTTCTATCTGACCACTTGGGAAGAGTACCACACCGGTACACTCTACTTGTCTGCGTTCAGCGGTCCTGTGGAAGGTATACTGATGATCTGCGTCATCTACCTCATTACGGCCATCGTGCCAGGCGGCGCCAACTTTTGGAACAGGGGCATCTTCAGCCTGAGCGGCATCGAAAGTTTGGACGTCCCAGCTCTTGCACATTTGGCGGCGTGGAACATCAAGGCCAACGAAGCCTTCCTTTCATTTGGAGCGACAGCTCTCGGCTTCAACATCCTCGCAAGCTACGGCAACGTCCGCAAAGCGAGGGCCGCCAAAGGTCTGTCTACCGTCACACCGCTCACCGGCCTGCTCCCGCTCCTGGCTCAAAATGTCGTCATGGTCGCGTGGGCGCTTGGAAATCACGGTCAATTGCTGAAAGACGGCAGCGTCTTTGTACCTTTTATATCGACCTGGGGCCTTGGCTTTGCCTACTCTGTAGGCTTGCTCATCGTCGCCCACGTCACCAAGGCACCTTTCCCATATTGGAACATTGCGACTCTGTTCGGGCTTGTGGGTGCGGTTGACGCGTGGTTACCTACGTGAGTGAAGCGACCAGCAAAGCGAGGATGCTCCTGCCTCGACAAAGCCCTTACGATCGCACTCTTTGTGTGCAGACCTATCCTTCAATCGTCGCCGCAGCGGGTGCAGGTCACAGTGTTCAGCTCGCTTGTCCTTGCAGCAGCATTCTATTTGCATTTTTGTTACGATGTCATCACCACCATTACGGTAGAGAGTGAGTAATACGTCGACTTGAGAGAGGCTTTGTCTGATTGCTCTCCTGCCTCCGTGCACACGCTGCCTTGCCCTGCGTAACGCTCTCTTTAGCTGGAAAGGTGAGTCGGCACCCCAGAGATGGGCTTCGGTAATCGAGATTTTGCATCACTCATTACTAACTGCCTTTTACATCTCTTTCTTGGGACTTCCGCAGCCATGCTTTCAAGTTGTACCACCGGAGCAGCAGAAGCCGAAGAATGAGGGGAAAGAGCTGTCCAAGAAGCAGTAGGAGTTACACGCGGGTAGAATAGAAAACTGAGTTGTGGCGGTCCTCCGGGAAGTCGCCATTAGGAATCACGTTGCATTGGTGACGTTGGGTATAATACATATTCTTGCAGTCACGGTTCGCAGGTGCGGCTTTTTGCGGGATGCACCTTGAGTGTCTGCTCGCGCGCTCTGTCACAACCGAGCATCATTTGTCTGCTACGGCGCGTTCAGGCAAGTTTTGGTACAGCGCACTGGTCCGAGATGCAGGAAGACCCTTTCAGTCTGGTGAGCAAAGCTCTTGATGTGAAATGCTCTGCGCGTATTTTGAGCGGATCCCTTGTTGCGGTCGCCCGATGAGGCGCCCTCAACACAAAAGCGAAGATGGCGGCACTTTAGCCGCTCCAATGACTCTTGAGTGCCTTCCACCTCGCTATGCTAAAGCCCGCATTCAGCGTAGCAGCGGTCACGCCTGCAAACCTAAGACGCTTTTGGTCCGTCCGAGTGAGTTTGGTGAAGACAATGTAGAGAAAGAAGACGGAGACTAGTTGAGTCGCGAGCTCCGAGAAAAGGAGGAACAGGATCAGTTCTACGGATGGCATCTTTGCGTCTCGTCCTTTGGCGGGAGAAGTGGTGGTCGAGGCAGATGCCCAAATGTAGGCTCCGCGGTCTTACCAACGGTGCCAGAGAGTGGGCGGGGCCTGAGGGCTGGACGAGAGGGTGACCGGATGAGATGAGGTGAGCTTTGGAAAAGCTTAGCTCGGGGCTTGTGCGCCAGGAATACATGCTGTGTGAGTGTGTGGACGGACACGCGATGACTCACCCTTCGTTTTGATTGGACGAGGAGGTCCAGAATGTACAGCGCGGCGTAGGTGGTCAGCAGAGGCCCGTGGCAGGGGTGTGAGTATCAAGGGGCCTATAGGCGCGCTGTACAAGCATCAAAGAGCGGCGAGGCGCGGGAGCGACCCGATGATGCGCCTGCGCGTGCGCGTGCGCGGCTAAATACAGTAGCCGATGCTCATGCTATGCATATTCGTTGCGGTACCCGCCAATCACCAATGGCTGCATGAATGGCTGAAAAAGGGTTTCATGCGACGGTGTCTGCTGAGACGCGCATCATTTCAGCTGCAACTGCTGCTGGCTGAGCACGGCTTTGTTTCGCGGCGGTGAAGCCCCTGGCGCAAATCAACCCGCGCTCCTCGACGCAAGGCAAGTCGACATTCACATTCAAGATTCACTTCACATTCGTGGTTGTTGAGGCTGTGACCACTACCAAGCGCAGTCAAGCGCAGGACCAGCTTGCCTTGCAGCGTGGCTCAACCCTTGTCACCTACTTCATCACTCTCACTCTTTCCCTCCTTTTCACCCTCATCCTTTCGCGCGCTCAGAGCCCGTCTCACGCGAAAAGCACGGATCGGCATCAACGTGCATACATTCAATTCGATCACTCGTTCCCTCAACGCGGCCCCCCCAACCGTCTTGAAGCAAGAGAGGTAGCACGGGACTGTGCGCGGACAGGCTTGGCTCGCCTTCGTACTGCATGGCTCGCACCATGTACAGCGATCCCGCTTCTGATCCGTACGCCACTGTCCGATCCACCAACTCGCACAGGCATGGCCACCAATCAGTTGGCTCGCAAGGCATCTTTACGCCCTTGGAGACGCGAGACGAGTGTCCCTCGCACGAGGCTGGGATATCAAGCCTTGATGACGAGGAGCTGCTGTTGAAGCAGCCAATACACCAAGCTGGCTCAGCCTTGCCGGTTTCCAAACCGAGCTACATTCACCGGCTTCTGCCCTCTGGCTCAGAGCACAAAGCCCGGCAGGAGGCGATCGCGCATCACCGATGGTCATCGTGGACCGGAACTACTGCTTTTCATTCGCACTCTGGCAGCGATCACGACGACACTGATCATGATCGAAGTGGCATGTCTCTTGACGAGGATTGCATGTCGTCCTCTATGAGCGGCTCCAGACGGCCCTCGGCAGACTTTTTCGGAGCCGAGTACACCAGTCAGGTCTACACCGATGCCGACAACAGCAGAACGAGTGCAGAAAGCGCTAGCAGCGCAGGTGTAGCGAAGAGGAGGCGGCGTCATTCGGGAGAAGAGTTGTGGAACAGATCAATTGAGCCTAGTCCGAGTCGCGTCTCCCTACCACCCGAAATTGTCGAGTCTCTGCCGTCACAAGCCATGCATGACGACGAAGCAGCTCTAGATGCAGCAATCGACTCTACTGCACGGGCATTTGAGCAAGCAACGGCACTCTTGCGATCCACTTTCTCAGCGCAGCAGGATTTGGTGCGCTTCCGAGCAACGCAGGAGGTTCTTGGCGATTCCATGGCGCTTCACGAGGCAAGGCTGATGCAGCAGATAGCGCAGAATCGACACGCGAAGGAATTGGTCGCGAAGGCGACGTCTGATATCAGCGCCTTGGTGCCTGCTTCCCGGCGAGTGGCTGCGGCAAATGGAAGCTCAGCGCCTCGGCCCACTCATTGGCGTTTGCCCAGCTTTGGTGCGGCGCCCATGGTCGCGCCTCCTACTCACAGTCGGAATGAGAGCGCAGGCGCTTCGTGGTTGAAAGCGAAGGACGTAGATGCTACGATTGGCAAGTCGGCTGCCAAAAGGCTCGAGAAAGCCCTCTCAGCGAGCGCTGCTGCCGCAGCCGCGGCAGCAGCAGCAGCCGACGATTCTACCACCCAGGAGCAGCTGTCATCCGCGAGAGGCGAAGGAGGCGACGATGCGGAGGAAGGCATGCATGACTCTCCAGCTCTTTCCGCAAGCTCGCCCATGATGCCAAAATTGCACTCTCGCGCGCCCTCCGTCGCTTCGCTCGTCGCAACAGATGGTGCACCCCCTCCAACATTCGCCGAAGCCGCACCAACATTACCAACGCACAGGCGCAGCTCGAGCAGCAGTGGATCTGCTGCTGCCGTTCTCGCCGCCCTAAATGGAGGGCACAGCCACCCTGCCCAGCCTTTCGATCCTATCCGTGAGGTGAAACAGATTGGTGAGAGCTCGGCGCAACGCGTGCCATCCACAGATCCTGAGACTTCTGAATCGACAGATAAAGGCAGTGCAAGCAGGCCAGGAGAGACTCCCGCCACCCAAAATCTCGCGCGCAATCGCATGCCCAAAGGGATGGGCTTGAGGTTGGTCTCGATGCCTTCGAGTCTTGCCCCTGCCATTACATCTTCGGCCTCTTCTGCTGAGCACTCGCCGCTGTCGCCGCCAAGTCCCGGCAGCTCGGCATATCTCAACTTGATTGCAAATTCCGCGAATGGCCAGTCAGCAGCGTCGGGCAGTAAGTCGCCCACGGGCTATTTCAATCCTTACCTTCGAAAGTCAAGGGATAGAGGGGATCGAACGGGATCACGTGCCAGCTTGGCCAGCTTGGGAAGTCTTGCTAGCATCGACGAGAGGCTAGCTTCACCTTCACCTACAACACTCAGTCGCCCCACCTCAGCATTGGGAGTCGCCTCTTCTGTCGCGGCTCACGCAGGTTCAATCGACGCGCGAACCAGCGCGGCACTTCCACTCAACCCGAACCGAACCTCTCGAACGACGCTGACCCCAGCGATGGCTGCTCTGTCTGCGAATGCGGGTCGCCGCGCTGTTTCTGGTGCCTCTAGCGCATCTTCGGCCTCCATGTCGTCGCAAGCTACTCTTAAACCGAGCGCGATTTTGCGAGCTGCAGCCTCGTCGCCCATCGACACCAGTGCCGCGATGGACTTCTCTTCTGAAACGGGCTTTGATGGGGACTCGGATACAAGCGCGCGACTTGGTTTCGAATCAGAGACGGATAGCGGCGAAATGTCGACGACACATGTCGCTTCACTTTCTCCCTTTTCTGCTCATGATCGAAGTGGTCAGCATGGACTCCTCGGCCCTAGATCTCCCAATTTCGCGCCTCATCGCTCGCCCAGACTGTCGCGAGCGAAAGGCCGGGGCCAGCATTCGGCCTCCAGCTCAATCTCTGAGTCTGCTCATGGCTGGCTCAGCGCCGGCGTCCACGGTTCGTCCTCAGAATCCGAGGATGGCGACAACTCGGACGGACAATCGGGGTATCGTCAAGTGCGCGATGCGGCTTCGCGAGGTCATCGGCGCAAACGATCAGCGACGGGCTCCAAGGGCGCTCTTGCCGCCCTTCGCAGACTGAACGGTGCCTCTGCAGTGGCAGGCGAAGGTCTCGTGCCGCACGTCTCCCAGGAGAATCCATCTACAAGTCCTGCTCTTGACGTCTCGCAGGCAGCAGCAGCTAGCGCGAGCCACTCCGGTGCAAGCGCTGCTCGGTCCGACAGTGAGCCTCAGAGCGCAGGATGGAGAGGCTCACTGACAAGCTGGATGAGGGCCGGAAGCGTCACGCCTGCATGAGATTGCTGTTGTCCTCCTGCCCCTTCGAGTCGCAATATCTCTGTAGCAGGTCACGATCTGCCAGCATCACTGGTCACTAAGCTTCGTCTACGTTTGCAGAAGTCACTGACCCGGAGCTTATCCACCTCGGCACACATTCTTTATACCAAATGAATCCACGATGCACATCGAAGACTACCCTGCACCTATAGGAGCCACCCTCACTTGTACTCTAACACGTCTCTTGCACAATTTCAGTCTCTCGAAAACGAATTTCTCCGGTACGGGTGAGCTCGTGGGGGCTGAACGACGAGCGACAAAAATGAGGTTGGACAAATGGTATGCCAATGGCGGGCGCTACAGATGTGTGACATTGCTGGAAGTCCAAAGAGTATGACATGCATTCAAAACATTGTTCTATTGTGCTCGAATCGCCGACCGAAACGGAGCGCGCGTCTCAACGCTTCCTCTCTTTGCTCCATCTCCAAATCGATCTAGAGGATCTGCCATTGTCACCATTCGCACCCGTGGCTAGCGAGAGCCCATGCTTGCCAGCCACGCCACCAGCTGCCACCGCCTCTTTTGCGTTCGCCTCCTTCGCTCTCACTTTGCGAGCCGATGTGCCGCCACTTTTGGAGGTGCTGATGAGCGCTCTGACAGTGGAGAGCTTTGACAAGACCGATTCGAGCGTCTTGAGACGGACTTGGCGCGCCTGAAGCTCGGCAAGCAGCGCCGAGGCGTGCTTCTGAATGGGAACGAGTGTAGCAAAGGTTTTGAATGAGCATTTGTGGAAAACAGATGCACGTGCCGGGGAGTCTATCGCTTACCTCGAATGTTTTGCGATCTGCTGCTCTCGCGTCCTGGTCCGCTTTCTTGGCCGCACGACTGGGTAAAGAAGCAGAAGCTTCGTCCGACTCCACGCTGCTCGCATCGTCATCGGACATTGCCGCATCCTCGTCTTCGTCCTCGTCGTCGTCTTGACCCTTGATCGATCCCACTCTGCGAGTCTCCGGAGCGCTCGAGGCTGCCGCAGCTGGGGAGCCGAGCAACGGTAGCTCCGAAGAAAGCGGTTTATATGCGCGTACTTCACAATTGATTGCAGAAGTCAGTCTGAGACTGCGCGATTAAGCTGTTTTCGTCTTCCAGTGGCAGACACTTACATTCTTCCACGCCCTCGACCCACACTGTTCTTCTACCACCGTGCCCAAGCGTATCCGCCACCGTGGGCCTTTTGCCTGTCCTTGGCTCCGCAGCGATCAGTCCAGCTATCCTAAGTGCGCCCCGTCGTTCCGCTTTCGCATCTAGCCACTCTCCACGCATATGCGACACCATCGGAGCGATCCTCTGCACCAGCTTCTCCATCCTTTTCTTTTCCGCTCTGATCTGAGTGACGATGTATGCGCTGTCCTGTGTCTTGAGCAGCGCGACTTCATCCCGCGGCAGCACTTGGGAAGTCTCTCGATTTGCGATATGCACACCGCCTTCTGTCCTACTCTTGATCATGCCAAAATAGAATTCATCCTCATTCTTGTCCATCGCCTTTTGTCCCAGACGCTTCAACCTCTCCTTTTTGGAATTGTAATCTCGTGCTCGCTCCACATAGTCCTTGTGCTTCTCCAGCAGACCGAGGTTCTTGCGCCTATTGAGCTGACCACGCTCTTTGTGCTGTCGCCGATGCACAGCATTGCGCAGAGAAGAAGACTCCATGTCCACGCCTGCGGGGAGCAATGTTTGATGTTATGGCAAGCAACTTCAGTCAAGACAGGCGATGGTTTTCGGGCACGCTCGGCCACCCTCGTCAGTAAGAGCGCGCTGTAGGATTGGCAGCAGGTGCGCACCGACGATCTGGAGGTCGATGGAGCGCCAAGGCAGTATATGTGGTCAATGTTGTGACTTGCACAGCATATACCCAGTCAAAGTGTCTAGAGCGGGTGTGGTTGGAGTGCAAAGACTGGCCCTCTTTGAGAATATCGGACAAGGCAAAGATCAAAAGTCTTGAATGGAAATCACGAACCGCGGATTCAGATCAAAATCATGAGTTCTGTCCCTTGTGCATGCCATTTCAAAATTCGGGCGGGCTGTGCACGTGACAGCTTTGAAGAGAGTTCTAGACCATTCCTGCACGGGCAATCGCCAGGCATTGGCGGCGGAAAGAGCTACCGAAGTTTGAATCAAACGGTCGACGCCGCTTTCCTTTACGGTACTACTACACTCACTCAACGAGTGGTATTCACGTGATCATTATGATTCACTCTGTCGTACACGAGACTGGCACCACGGATGTTGATTAAGTCATGAACTAAGAAGGGCAACATACTTCGAGTACAGGAACGCTTGACTTCTGACACCGGACACCTGAAGGATACTCAGAATGCGGCAATTGCGGCGATAACCTGCGATGGATGGTACCTTGGCGAGGGGCGCTTCCAAAAGGCAGACGTCGAGCGTTCCCCAGAGAAAAGGGGTCCTTTGTAGCATTGTGGTCAAAGTATCACTGACGATTGGTAATCGTCGAGCCAAAGTGAGCTGAGAAGCGGAAGATCTCATGGTGACAACGTCCGTGTAACTAGTAATTCGTGCCTCTTCGAGCTGGAACCAAAATCCGGCGGTCAAGCTCGCCCGTCGACGCGAGGTGGGTTCATGTCGTAGGCCTTCCTCCAAACCGAGTCGCAGAACGGCCGCTCAGGTTTCCTCGCTCTCTCGGCCTTGCCATACTGGCATCTAGCCCCGCCAGAACCAGCAGCTACAAGATACGGCAGTCACAATTTGATTGATGACCTCATAACGAAAGCGACGCTGCGCTAAACGGACGGTCCATTCATCGTGTACGGAGATGCGGAAGCCCACATTTAGCTCCGGAACGCTGCGGCGGAACGACTGACGAGTCATGCGTGGTTCACAATCGAGACTCTGTATATTCCGCCCTATCCAAACAGTGGGTAGGGGTAGTGAATCCGTGGATGTGTAGCTGCATGATTAATGAGCCTACCGAAATGACGCTTGGCTTCTCTTGGAGTTGTAGTCGTGGGTCCAGCCACCATGCATGGCTTGACTGATGACAAGCCAACTGACTCATGTCTTACGCTTACGAGCGATGGAGATATGCTTGCAACCTTTTGACCCCGTGTCATGTCGGTGAGAGGCGGACTTCATTGAGAGGTTGAACAGAGTCACTCAAGATCTTGAACGAGGGATGATGAATCGAATTTACATTTTGAGTGGGGCAGCAGCAGTCGAAGACGTGTTCAGGAAATCGTGAATCCAGTCGTGAGTTGTGAGTTGTGAGTCGTCAGCTAAGTTTGAGTGAATTCATGGTGTTTGCAGGGCTCCAATCACAACAGAAGGGCTGCTGCAGCACCGATTTTTGACTCGAGCGCTGGAAGCTGTCTCTGCTGTAAGGAGGCAGAAAGCCGTGCCAGTCGAATTACGAAACGCTACTTGACAGATGGCGAACTTGTAACGTCCACAAAGCAACACACCGCGTGCGCTTGATCCGGCAAACGAGATCTACAGTAGATGCGTGAGGGCATGCCCTCGCCCAATTAGAGACGGTGATGCGTGAGTGCGCATGCGCGTGTATCGAATTTGGTCTTCGACCAAAGATGCATTAACCAGCTTTTGTTGAAGACTGGCCGCTGCAAACACGTGCTGTTTCATCCTCTGGTGCAGTTCGCGCATAGGCTAGTCCAGGAACGCCGCCGCCGGCCGCTAGAGTCTGGGCAGATGCAGCCCGCTCACGATAATACCTGAGACTCCTCATGAAACGTCATGAACCTTTAATTGAAATCATGAATCAATCACTATACCGACTGTCAGACTCGTGACTCACGGACGAAATTCAAAGATGCTGCTCTGGCCTCTGCGAGCCTAGCAGACCATGCAGAAGCATGTCTCGGCAACAAGCCATCTTGGCTGTCAAAGGTCGATCTGGGCGAAGAGAGGATCTGCGGCTCAATCGTGAATCTTACGATCGAAACCTGCGCGATGATGAGCAAGTCGATGTTGACGAACGTCGTCGTTGTTGCGTCGGTTGGTTCTTTAGCGCGAGCATGGAAAGATCTCTTCCGACCCTGCATGTGCCCCTTCCTCGGTCAAATTCGCGCGCGATGCCGTTCGCGCTTTGTCAAAGCATGCAACCGTCAAAGTGTCACAACAGTCTTCTTGCCAGAAGGAGTAGTCCTGTGCCACTCTGCAACATTGCCGCCGGATAGCCGTGGTAGAAGTGCACCCAAAGAATTCCGCGCAGACGCTTACAGCCATGCATGGTTGCCGGCCGTTATTGCTGATTCTCAGTCGTGCATCTCGATCGAAGGACGTGCTATATATGTGCCATGCTACCCGCGCCGCGACGCGTGGCTATGGCTGCTGCTGTCCTGGGTCTTTATTGTCGTGTCAGCAGCTTAGGGCGACGTTATGAGCCATATGCCATGACTGCGACAAAGACATCAGTTTGTCTCGGTGTCGAGACAGATGCTGGGCTTGCCCTGACTTGCGATAAATTGAGAGGCTTTGCTATGGGTGCTGCAACGCGCGTTGACACAGCCCGAGAATTGAACTACTACAATGCTGCCATGCTGGCTGCAGAGCGCTCGCGGTGTGAGACCCGCCGGTCTGTTTCTGCTGCGCAAGCCTCACAGGCCCGCGGTTAGCTATGCAAAACACTGTGGCCGAGAAAAGCTGGTGGAGCGCCTGATGCTTCAGCGTGTGAGCCCAGGCCTCCAACACGGCATGGTGCAGCAGGCTCGGTTACTCGCGAGTACGCAGGCACAGCACGAGCAGCAGCAGCTATAGGGCCGCGCCTTGCGGTAGTAAAATAGTCTTGCTTAATTCGTGATAATTGCTGCCTGCATCTTTGTCCATAATCCGACCGAGCAGCGCGCAGGTGGGCCGCTCCTCGCACCCTCGTTTTTCAAT